ATGATCCTTTCAATGTAGACGAAGTAGACCAAGCCTTGGATGACGTTGATGTCGTCGAAATATAGTAGCCCTCTACGAATTGTAGACCTCCTGTCAAAAAAGTGATCGATTTCTTGAGGAAACTAATAAATAAAAGACCGATCACTATCCGTAAAAATCCGTTACTTGCTTTAAAGCTCTCTGCAACGCAGCAACACATGTTACATATGTGTACGTATCGCGTCATCAATGCCAAACGTCACCATCGTGACATGCAATTGTTGATAGCCGGGGCAACGCCAAAGCTTATCCATCACCACGTTTAGCCGGTCTGATTCTATAATTTGTGTCTAAGGTATAATAAAAAAAGAATGACAACTAATCTACTAAACTTTGTGGAAAAGGTGGCAACGGCGCAACGGCGCAACGGCGCAATATCTTTATAGATCACAAATATATGTGCCCTGGACTTGGCACAAGCGTGAAGCTGTGATAGATTCAGTAAAGGAAAATGGTATGTTCAAAATGAAATGTTGCCCTGGGACATAGAGAACAGGCCACAAAATAATTTAAGTATCGCGTTAATGTTGCGACTTCCTTCGAAAAAGGTACTTACACTCGTTTGTAGTAGGCTACCCTAGGCCATTACATGAAGGTGCATCTTCTGACCTTTTGTATGTATTGTAGGAATTGATAAAAGAAGATTACAGTATGGTGTTCCCAAATGCATACGTGACATCGTATATGATGTCATAAATATTATGTGTGATACACAATGCAGGTTCCTCTTTGAAGGTTTGTACTGGGGACGAGACCGACGTGACTTTCTCTTTCGAATCGGGGGGCCCGAACCAGTCACTTCTACTGGATATCTTTCACAAAAGTATACATTTAAGCTTTTCGAAGTTCATGCTCCGTATACCCAAGATCTTGTATAAGAGTGAGGTGAGGTCAACATTAGTATAAACCAGCATCCAAAGGTTTAGCCTTAAAGATGTTCTGCCGGTAGCTAGGAACTCGTATTCATCCAGTTGAAAATGCTTTTTCAATATTCAGTTGAAAATGCCTTTTCAAATGGTTAAGTCGTTCTGCTTCCCTCAAAGTCGGGAAGGTCCTTTTTTAACGTTAAGGTTTGCTTCCTCGTCGCACAAGCGTGTGTGTTGTGTTTGGAGGGCTGTTTGATACACCGATCTCTTACATAGATTCAGTGCTTAAAAAATTAGTGAAAATAGCGTTTTAATTGGAATGCCTCATGCGAGAAGGCCGAGGCCTCCGCATCCGAAAGGTACAGATTTTAAGCGCAGACTAGTCGATCATTTTCGTTACATACATGGCTGCCGCCATGCACCGTTCATGGTTTTCAATGTCGTATCGTCCAATTTTACGTCGTGCATTTTTTCCTAAGTCGGAGTTGATAGCGTGAAGTACTTCATTAATAAATTAAATTCATAGTGTGATGGATACACTGCAGAGCGTCCTTAATTAAGTAATCTATTATTGTTGTATTCGCAGTTGCTAACTAATGGCAACGACAGAGATCTTTTTGCTGGGCTTGATAGGCTAAAAAGGCCAGCGTCTCTGCCGAACGATAACAGCGAAGATATATTCGAAGTCGTCGATGACGAAACTGGTAACCAACTGGGCTATATTGCAATTCGAGGTGGCTGACACCCATTCTTAAGAGCAACAATTCCATCTAGGTCGATTCGATTCAATGCGCAAAACAATACAGAGCCATAAGGAATCCAATCACCAAACATACGAAGTTAGTGCGAGGATTTGAGTGACTCAATGGCCTGATAACACAGCATGATAGATGACGAACGAACGTGAGCAATGAGTTCAAAACTGCAAAGACACCAAATTAAAATGCTATCCGTTTTACTCGAATATTCAGGGCTTTCAAAAACATCGAAACCGAAGTTAAGCGGTCATCGCTTAGCCTGAAGGCACCTGATGGGTTTGAAAATGCGCTGGCCAGTCGCATTCAAGTATTCCCCATTGCGTTTTGCCTGATGTTGTCATACATGGCTACCGTCAACACCGGGACTCACACTTCTGTCGTCCTCTGAAAATTTGCGCAAAATGTGATCGATGAGTTGGTATGGGAAAAGGTTTAGGATGCATATACGGACACTGTATCCGTGCGTCTTGCAACGGGCGATATTAAATAAGTAATTTGAATCTCGAAAAGCGAGATTAGAGTCACATGTACAGCAAATTGGTGGAGTCGGTCAAGAAAGTATATTTTTTTATTCCAGACGTCATAACGAATGTATCACACTACACGCGACATTTGGGATATGCGAAACGTGAAGACACAAAAGTGCACTCACCATCACATCAAACTGACCTTACCTATCCAGCGTTACGCCACACTCATGTGGACTGTGTATTGATCATGATGCTCGAGTCCTGTTTGGAAAAGAAGAACGACATGTCATCGCATCAAATATGGAATGGCACGAATCACAGAAGATCCTTCAAAACACTTGTGCAAATAGACCGTGATGCAGGAACGTGCTTCTCCTATCTATTGGTTTTGCGCATAATGCATGCCGCCCCACACTCTACCGCATCATATATATATTATTCATTGAACCCCTGGGGCCGTTAAAAGGCTACAAATCGGCTTCGAGCATTGTAGCTAGGGGCTGTGGGCCTTAATTGACATGGTGATACCAGCCTAGCCACATTTTAGAGCAAATTTGGTGAATCCTTATCCATGAACACAGGCATCATGCAGCTGATACTGAGAGTCATACCAATGCGGTACATCGAATCCAGATGGTGTCGCGTCACATGATTATGTGTAGGCATAGTTCTTAACGCAACTGAACCGCCTAAATATTACATTGTCTACCGTTCATAGGACAAAGCTACCATCACGTTACATCGGGCTGTGTGTGGTCGTAGTTAAACAAGCATTTGAGCTACGCTTATAACATCCAAAGAGATCGCGAGAATATCCAGTGCTCTAAATGGTACCACGACCCGCTCTTACAAGCAGTCGTAGGTGAAAAAATTCGTTGCATGCGGAACAGCTTCGTTTCCAATTTCTGTAGCTGAAGTATTTTTGCTTCTTAGCAGCAAAAAGTTTTAATCCGCAGAAAATAGGCACCGAGACAGCTAAACTCAGAGCTCATCTAAGATCGAGCTGTTTCTGGCATCGCACTCACGCCAAGACTATCAAAGAGACTCAACATGCCGCCAAGACCGAAAGAGGT